GTATATAAATTTAAAAGTAATACGTTGGTTGCACAACAAACCAAGGGCTACCTTCAGGTTTTATTCCAGAAGTTGAGCCTCTCTGTAACACTTCTATTTCCATAACCTGGAAGATTAGATTCTGCAGGGGCTATTATACTTTTAGAGGGTGATTTCATTTTAGTGGGTAACATAAAGCTCTGCATTATTTAAGCCTTCTTTAGGGGTGCAGGGCAAAGAGCTGGACCCAAAGGTGCTAAGAGTAAGGTGGCTATGATAGTGATTCATTTTCAGGCAGCACAGAGAGCAGCAGTAAGGGCTGGCCTGCAGAGCCATGTATGAAGATCTACCGATCTCAACCAACAGGCTGCGCATCTGATGCAGAGAGGCTGTCAATCCCCAGCGGCTCTGAAGCTGTGTCTGATTAAACAGGATTTATATGAGCAAGGAGAATTCCACTCAGATCTCAATTCCTCTGCACCTTCTACATCCTTCTCCTTAATACCACACTGAAATTAGCCTGACGAGGGCTCCAACAGGGTGCTATTCAGTGTCAGAGTGTATTAAGAAGAGTAATGAAGCAGAGAAGGTAATAGAGTTTCTGCTCTGTGCATGTGGCATGCTCTGTTGACACATCTAATCTCAAAGGGCCAAACTGTGTTCTCAGACAACTCTAGAACATTATCTGAGTTATATTAGGAATCACATCTTTTACTTGCAACAAACTGGGAATTATACCTTGCTCTAAATTGTTCCAGTACAGACAGCAATGAAGGGAACCAGCTCATCCAAAGCAGCATTGTGTCTGATGCTTACAAGTTGCATGGAGAAACAGGATGACAAGAAGATTTTCCCCCTCTCAGCTGTGCTCCCAGAGAGTGGGAGTTCAGTCTTTTCCTGTCTCACACATATGGGTGAAATGAGGGAACAGGGAATAGGCAAAGCCACAACAGGATTAGTTTGTAAATGGTTCTGCATCCCAGCTGTAAAGCACTTACTGTGTCCTTGTGGACCACTAATGGCTTGGAGACCACAGTTAGGGATGCACCGAGGTATAGCACTGAACAATAAGCAGCACCCTATTCTCTGTGTTCAGGGAAGTAACTTGAAAAAATGTTTCTGAGTTAGGCATTGCTCTGTGTTCAAAGAATAATACAATACCAATCTGGTTTGCAATGGGCAACTTCATTAAAAACATAAAAAACCCCATCACAACTTCCACCTTCACTGATGAGCAGCATTCAAGTGGCTCCAGGGGGAATCATTGCAGTTTCATTTCATGCAGTATCATATTAGAAATGTAATTAGAAAAATGCCTGTTGATATATTGCAGCAGTACCAATGAAAACAGAGTCTTCTGACTGGAGTCTCACTCCACCTGCTAAAAAGGAAAGTCGGAATGTTTGGAAATTATAAATATTGCAGGGGAAATAGCAGAACAGATTACCTGGCACATGACAGATACACAGAATCACAGAACCACAGAATCATAGGGGTTGGAAAGGACCTCAGGAGATCATCTAGTCCAACCCTCCTGCCAAAGCAGGTTCCCTACAACAGGTTCCACAGGAAAGCATCCAGGCAGGTTTTGAACATCTCCAGAGATGGAGAATCCACAACCATGGCTTACTTCTGAATAATGCATAGAAAATAGAATTGATTACTCTTCTATCTGCTCTTTAATGATCAGAATTGGCCACAATTTAAGTTAAATATATCAAGTGAGGATTTAAGTCACTAAGACTTAGTAAGACTGGCATCGTATTAAATGCTAATTTATTATTTTTAACATGTGGACACCATCAGTTACTCAGCTTGCATAATTAAGCAGATGTTAAAACCAAATAGATACAGGAGCTGAAAAAACTAAGTTATCTGTAATTGTGACCAATACTAACTTTATAGGGGATACAAGCATGAGTAAAAACCATTTCTTCCCCCACCCCCATGGGTGCAGACACCCATCCCCTTCTATCGCAAGCAGCTGCCCTAACTCTTTGCCACAAGACTAGCTCTTCATACAGTACGGACATTAAACAAAGGGGATGTACAGGCAACTTCTGCGCTTCTTTCCCAACACTGGGGCCAGCACTGGGGCTGGCTCCTGCCCAGTAGCAACAGGTCAGCAGCTGGGCCAGGTGGCTTCCTGCAGCACCCAGCCAAGGCAATGAGGAGGCTGTGTCAGGCATAGGAGGTGGGCAGAGAGACAAGAGGGGGAACCACATGGAACATGTACTGTCCTCAGGCAGAGTTAACACCAGGACAATCAATAATACAAGTGAACAAGCATAATAACTCTTTGAGGGGAACTGCAGGCAGCACATCGTCCAGGGGGAGAAAAACACCCTAGCAATGATTGAGGGCTTGAGATGGGAAGCGAGGGAGAGCCTACATCCTGAGGACATATTGCACATAGAAAGGCTTTCATCAATATATTTAAGATGATACTAACAACAATATAACGGCAGGACAAATAAGAGCCCGGGGTAGGAAGAAATTAATATAACAGTCAGCTCAGGTATAAGAGGGATGGCTTAAAGCTGAAATGTAACTAGCAAAGCACCAGCTGCAAAACCAGATCAAAGAAGAGAAAGATGATGAATGATATAGAAATAGGAAGGATCAAGAAGCATGCCTGTTGATTTGAGTGTGGCTCACAATAAAATACAAGCGTTAAAGGCAAAGTTCTCCAATCTGAAATCACAGACCTCTGATAGGGAATAAGGAGGGTTGAAATTGCAGTTCTGCAAGTGCTTGTACTTTCACTGCTCACAGATTCACTTTGCTATGGTAGAGTATGAGGCACTGAGATATTTTTATCTCTTCAGATCTAATAGTAATTTTTCATCCAGGCACCTCTGAGCTATCGAACTGTAATCAGCAGTGACTGATACTGGAGGAAGTCAGTGCCCGAAATGCGGAGCAACAGTGACCCATCACCACACTGAGCTGCAGCCTGGGGAAAAAACCACTGATGGAAAAAGCAGTGAGGAGTATCCAAAGGCATGAGGTACAGTCAGAGCAGAAGGGGGGACGCACATGGCAGGTTCATAGGAAGCAAGGGAGGGTGACGGAGAAGAAAAAGTTCACAATACTGACCTGTTTCAAGGTCTCCAGTGCTTGAGGAAACACGTCTTGAATATACTGCAGTTTGCCCACTCGCATCAGCTGGACGGCCCTCAGTGGATGGAAACCAGGATAATACAGTCTGCAGAGAAAAAAGGAGGAAAACATGTCATTGTCAGCTCTCACCTTCACAGTCACTGCCTCTGAGGAGAGCTATTAGGGTGGGACTGCGAAGTCATTGTGAATGTTAATAAGGTACTCAGAGAAAATTAGCTGCACTACTGAGAAGCATGAAATACTAAGGGGAATTAGCAAATTATTACTCTCCATCTCAGAGGAATGCCTTTAACATTATCCTGTTAGAAAGTGACAGGAATGGAATTATTTAATTCGCTACTGTTGGATAATACAATAGCATTTACTGTACTTAGTGTTGCAAACAGAGGTCATACACAGTCCCAGGTCTCTGGAGAGCTATAATTTTAAGAGGAAGCTTCAGCAGGGAACCCAGTCCTAGATCCTCCAGGATGAAGGAGAGGACCTGAAGGGAAAGCAGGTATGTAACATTGAGGCCACCATTTCTGAGGGTTTACTTGCTACTCCTTGTTGCAGGAAGAACTGGTGCTGCACATTCAAGGAAACATCTCAGACTTGGCTTGTGCATCTAGACAAGGCATCTGCTAGTGTGAAGGTACACTCCCATTCTTACTCAATTAATTTCACAGAAGCAGAGGTTTCCCACCAACCTCACTCGAGTTAATGAAAACAGAACTACAGTATCTTTTTTTTCTAGGAAGTAGATGGAGAGCAATCATTAATTAATCATCATTAATTCCTCTCAAGATGCTCTTGAAAAGTCCATGCTTTCATGGTGACAACTCCAGATTTCCAAAGCCTGCTGTCCTTTGGCTCACAACACCTGGATCCCATCCCAGCCCTGTGTTCTGGATGTAGAGAGCACAGCATCTTGGAAGAGCCACCTGGAGGCTTCAGAAAGCCATGGACCTGACTCTCCTAGAACTGGCCAGCAGGAAACATGAGGTGAAAGGACTCACCTGGAAGTTGTCACCTGCAAAAGATCTTAGATCCTTTTTGACTAACTACATAAATGAAAGAATAAAAGCCTTAAGCACAAGTCACTGAAGACAAATATCCTATTTGATCAAAGAGCATTTTACTTCCTCAAGTACTTGGTGTGCTTGAGGGGTGTCTAAAAAATTACAAAATTTGTCACAACCGCAGGAGGGGGAGCCAATTAGCTTCCCAAAATCTACTCTTTGAAGAAATTTTTTTTGTGTGTTTACGCTAAACCTATCATCATCAGACTTTTGGGGAATTACTAATGCATGATACTACTGCAGTCAGAAAGATACTTAAATCTTCATGGGTATGATTAGATGCATGCTAAGACATTAAATGATGTAAATTTGTACGACGTATAGGAATCTTCTGATAAGTCTGCATGCAAATGAATGAGTTCTCTTTCTCCATTATTTTGCACTAATGAAAATGCAAACACGATTAAATACAATTGTTTAAATGGCAGAGTATCTGGCTGTCCTTACAAATCTCAAATGAAGATGTGTAAATATCATGGAAAGTGTTTTCACACCCAAAACCCCCTTTTCTGCTGATCCCATGCAGCTTCAGTGAAGACATACAGAAACACAAGGGAAGCATGCCTGGCAGGATCTCAGGAGCAATAGCTCTTGATCTGCCGAAGTTTCTCACAAAGCAGCAGAAACTAATTCCTCAATGAGAATGATGCATCCTGAATTGCCACGAGCACCATCTATTCAGTCCGCTCACGGGCTGCAACTCAAAAAGGCTGGAGAGCCAGTAGACAAGAGAGAAGAAAACTGATAGCACTTATCTCAGTCTAAACTGACCAGTCAGGAACTTCAAGGATCCAGTTAAACAAGCACTGGAAAATTATCAGTAGGTTTGGTTTTAGATTTTTGTTTCTGATTATTATAACAATTAATAACAACATGGTGTTATCTGTTACTAAATAGGGAGAAAATGCAACTAAGTCAGAGATTTTGGTGTGAATTAGTGAAACTAATTAGAAACTGTAGCACTAACACAGCACAAATGGGAGTTGTGAGCACATGCACAACTTTCTAAAAATTGAAAAAAAATGATGCCTATAAGATTGTGTACTTCTGCCTTCACCTGTGAGTGCTGCAAAGGAAGGAGTAAAAAGGTCACTCCCTCTTCTCTGGGCCACTGAAATGCCAGGATGCCTGGGGCAAGGACCATGGCCACAGGAAAAGGAGACAGGGAGACAAAGACTTTTGCATCAGATGATAACTCATCTTTGCAGTCTCCACTATACTGTTTCTGCTGTATCCTGACAGCTCTGATTCTTTTCCTACTGCTCCTTCATGGCCTCATCACATCTCCCTTGTTCCACACCTTTACCTTTGATCCTCTCAACCATCTTCTTAATGTATCTTTTTTTCCTCTCCCACCCCTGAATAACCAACCCCATCCAAAATACCAAGACAAATAGGGAACTTGGGTCCTTGTTCACCTGCAGCCACCACAGGGATGGCAGCTCATGTGGACAAATCCAGGCTATACTTTTGTTTCTGCAGTGTACTGTCTGCTAAACTTCATGCAGGTCAATCAGAATTCAGAATCTGCCTCTCCATGCAAACAGGTTTCTTTCTATGGATCATACATTCACCTGAAGTAAATAAAGATTTAGGACTGTGATATATGCAATATCAGAGAAAACAGATGGCAATTTAGCAATGTCAGGTGCTCAGCCCAGACTACCAGCCATACACTAAAGCAAGTAAAAATTTAAGATGAGGACACAGAAGGAGTACATGTGAAATGAAGAGCTCTGTGCTTATAAATATTTACAAAGCTGTTTTACTGAGCTGATATTTGCTCTGATCTTCTGCATGTACATAGTTATATTTTGCAAGCCTTAAAATTCACAGTTGAAACAACTGTTTATTATTGTAGTCTGGAATAAATCTATTAAACTATTGGAACACCTTTTGTGGAAGCACATCCATTGAGTGAGTTTACTAGAGAATTCCAGACAGCTTGCAGCTCTTCTGGGAGAGGTGTAAGGGGGAAAAATGCTGATGGCTTCTTCCAGACATCCCTAGGATTCAGTATTATGAAAACTGGCATGGCAGAAGGAACTAAGAAGCAGTGTCAGGTACTTGTGAACCAATTTATTATCTCCACACATTGCTCTGAACAAAACTAAGTGGATAAATTTAAGAATAAGGAAGACATTTAGCAGCCAAGGAACTAGTACCTAAAGACTGTCAATGGGAGACTAAGACAACTATAGAGAAATACATGCTGTAAAACACATCACAGCTTGGGAAGAGTAGGATTTCAATCTGAAAAGGATTTTATGAGATTTACCAAGGCCTGAGGGACAGGATGGGGAACAGTAACATACTGAAAGTTGAAATAAAGATAGTTCTGTAGAGTGATGTTTCCTGGCCCTTGGCACTGGTGAATGCCCAGTAGTCCACTTGCAAAGAGATATTAAACAGAATACAACAACTAAGAACTAGGGCTGTGTTGTAAACAAGAGAACTAGAGAAGGCTGAGAAAGATCTGTACATTTTGTATCGCCTCCTCTGCTTATAAATGACTGCACAGCTTTGTTCTCATCTATGACCAACAGCATCCATGCCCACCTGTCCCTCCAGCCTGCCCTCCTGCCTATCGACTGGTCCCCACAGTTTGGTGTCATCTGCAAACCTTATAAAAGTGCCTTCTGTTGCCTCCTCCAGGTTGTTGATAAAGGTGTTAAACAGGACGAGTCCCAGGACAGACCCCTGCACTACCCCACTGTTACTGTCATCCAAACAGAGTACAACCCAACAGCCATGACCCATATTCTGTAAAGCAATCGCTGATTCTAATACACTGTGAGATCGATAGCTCCTATTTGTAATTCAGCCATGAGGTTTGCCTTGATTAACCCTCAGAGCAGTCACTGATCATATACTTCACAAAGAAAAAAATATTTTTTTTTTCTGTATATCAGCTCTGAATCTCTTTAAGCAATCCCTTGTGTTCTTACATAACGGACAATGTAAACAAGACAACCCTTGGAAAATTTTTGCCAGTTCCTTCTATTTCTTAATACTATAGTTCCATTAATTCTACTCAGCTTATATGCCATTACAGGGTAAATAATCAGAGCTTTTGTGCTCTCTTGTGAATTAAAGCCTAGTCTTAAAAAAAGATACTATGCAAAATCACTGCCTTTTCTGATGCCTCATATTTGAAGATAAATAGATACCGTTCCCTGTAAATCAGTCTGTGGGGTTAACATTTACACTGTTGTCTTCAGCCTGATGTAATTAGAAGCAGGCAGGATTTATAAAATCTGAAATAAGAGTTTAAAATGGAAATGCTACAAGGCTTTTAAATATGGTGACATGTAAAAAGTGACGCTATGCATAATTGTAAATTGGTTTGCAGTACCTTTCAGTGCAAGTAAATATGACAGCATAAAAGACATAAAGCAGTTTTAGGAGCTGCAGCAAGAGAAAAGGAATTAGGAAGAGGCTCCTGGAGATCAGGAAAGGTGGTGAGCAGAACAGCATCAGTCTCATGACAGAAACGTACACACTACAGCTGGTGGAAATGTTCACCACAAATACAGCACCCAGTAAGTTCAACCTTCTTTTCTTTCTCTGACTTATTCTTAATTTCTGACCTGCTCAGTATTTGAGTACATTCATTAAAGCTGTTTACTGAACTGCAGCCTAGGAATAATTTTTTTTTGTCCAGTTATTTGTTTTTTCATTACTTAGTGATGTGAGACTGGTCATCTAATTTGCACAATATTATTTCCACTCCTTGGCCAGGATGATCAATGGGTTCTGAATATGGGAATTTTGAGAAAGATTTTTAGGACAAAATTAAGGAAAAATGTAAGGAGGAACCAGTTATTTTATGAATAGTCAAAGAAATCATATGCCTCAGGAGCATGAGAGGTAAACTATCTGTGCTCATGTAGGAGCTCACAGATCTTAATGCTAAAGGGACTGTGCTGCAACTGTTCAGTCTATATACAGAATTTCACCTAGCAATTCCTGCTCCAAACCCATAAATCTGAAACTGAAATAGTGTTTAGCAATGCAGCTAAAC